GGGAGGAGGAGGGAAGGAGGGAGGGAGGGAGAAAGGAGAGAGAGAAGGAGAGGGGAGAGGGAATCGAGGGGAGTAGGAGAGCTTGAAAGAATCCCTGAACTGGTCTTGAGACAGCCCCTCACCCGCACTGAAGCTGGCAGCTTTTGCAAAGCGTCCAGGGAAGGTAAAGAAACTTCTACTTGGAGGCTTGAGGAGGGGGCTGAGGGAGGGAGACACAGGCACACAGCTGACATTTCCTTTTCTCAGTAAAGAGGGAAGGGTATCTGCTTCCTGTCTCTAACAGTCCACTCCCCGCTCCCCTCAGGAGCTCTCAGCCCAGCTGCTGGCCCTGGGGGGTAAGAGGTGGCCAGATCCCCTGGGCTGGGCTGGAGTTGGGGCTGGAGCAGGTGGTCTCCCCTCCCCTCTTCATTGGCATTCACTCCATCAATTTAGAAAAAGAAGTTGCAGGCAGAGGAAGGGGCGGGGCACCCCTACATCCTAAGAAATATAAAAAGATAGATGTGCTAAATGGAAGTGGGGGATGTGGGGGTGGGGCAGGAACCGGGAAGAGCTCAACACACACTGACCAGGAAATCCAAAACCGGGTTTTCCTCTTCCTGTGGTGTTTTCTGACTGGCATTACTGACAGAAGGATGCTGGCTAGGGGTGCTGGAAGATTGGGAACCAGCAGTGTTTTCCAGTTTACCCAACCTCCACCCCCCATCCCATCTGAAGGAAGTTTAGATGCTGAGTGATGTGGTAAACTTAACACTACATAATGTTTTGTCAAAGTAAAGTGCATTCTATGCATTCTGCTAATACTTAATGAGGTCCCACTACAGACTTTCTTAATTTTGTCTCTGCAGTGTACAGCTAAGTAAGAAATGGCGTCTGTTCTTAGATAAGACGTCATGGTGCAGCCCTCAAGTTATCCTTCAAATTAACACTTTTCTGTGTTTTCCAAAAACTAAAGACTTTTCTAAATGAAAGAAAGCACCTGAAAAATCTACATTTATAACTCTAGGAATTTTGACTAGAGTTTAAGTCAGGTTCTTTATCTTGAGAGAAAAAGAAGTAGCTGGATTTTAGCTGTTATTAAGACATACTTTCTGTGTCGAGATTACCATAATGAAGACATTTGTCTATGTTGTTTAGTGCTTTAGGAGATCAGCTTTGTTTTATATTTCAAAGCCCCTAGTTAACTTTCTGTGTATGCAAAGTGGCAGTGCATGAAGTACCCAAGGACAAATACTTGGATAACAGAAACTGAATATCAAAGTAATATTTGGATAATACAAACTAAACTTCTATAACTTGTTGGCAATAGATCTCCACTTTGAAACACTGAAAATTACTTGGCTTTCTCATACCATAATCCATGAATCTGATAAATACCAGGCCACTACATAAACTAGTAGCCCAATACAGGTGAATTTAATTCTGTGTTCTTTTGAAACTTCAACTACTAGACTTATAGTTTGGGTGAAAATAAAAATACTGATTAAATGAAAATAATTGGGGATAGTTAAAGCATAAGCTGGTCATCTGAGGTCTTACCTTGCGGTTGAGCTGCAATATAATTTCACACAGAGGCCTAGGCTCATCTGTCCCTCAATTTAGTGGAGCTTTTGTAGCCTGCTTCAAAATTCTTCAAATTCTTTCTTGCCTTATACTCTAATGTCATAGGGAGAATCCTTGGGTTTTCTTTACAAAGTAACTTCCCACTTTATTTATTTATTTATTTATTTATTGAGAGACAGAATCTTTATCACCCTTGGTAGAGTGCTGTGGTATCACAGCTCACAGCAACCTCCAGCTCTTGGGCTTAGGTGATTCTCGTGCCTCAGCCTCCCGAGTAGCTGGGACTACAGGCGTCCACCACAACACCTGGCTATTTTTTGTTGCAGTTTGGCTGGGGCCAAGTTCGAACCTGCCACCCTTGATTTATGGGGCTGGTGCCCTACTCACTGAGCCACAGGTGCTGCCCTTAATTTCCCATTTTAACAGAAATTTTGGATAAACAAATGAAAGTTCTTTGACATTTTTAGAAGTACAATATAAAACAATTGCAAGTAATTTTGGGGGGGGAGGTGTCTGTATTTACAGTCTTACAGTATAGCACAAACTAGGTTTCAAATGTTAAAAGATGCAAAGAGTAGATCATTGAACTTGGACCTGAAAGGCCTCAGGGAGAAACTGAGAAGGAAAGCAGATGAAAAAGAGTTAGAGAGAAAAAAAGGAAGAAATCCATGTATGTGCCAGTATTTTACATGCCTCCTAGATTTAAGGGAAAAATTAGCTATATTATTTACATTTTTGTGTAAGCATTGCTACAATTATTTGTGTTTTTGCTCAAGCATTGCTATAAGTATTATTAATATTTCCTTTATCCTTATAATGACCTGGAAAGCAGATTGGTCTAACATTATTTTCCACAGATTAAAAAAAACCCAATAATTATGAGGACAAGTGGTTTTCCCAGGGACACAGAGGTAATTAGTGGCTAAGGTAGTGAAGGAATCCAGATCTGTGATTTTTAAACTCTCCAGGAAATTCTGCCTCATGCAGATAGAAATAAGATTCGCAATTGATGAATATCAGAGAGAAAAGAGAAAAAAAGGTAATAGTGAATTTTTAGTGCCTAAGTTGCCAACTAAGAAGAAAATATGGATAATTTAATAGATAATAAAAACCATTTATAGTTAATATTTTATAATTATACATAAATATTGATGTATTCTATATCCTTCACCTTCTGGAATTGAAAGATTTTCTTATTCTGTTCTTTGATTGATTTGATATTTAAAAAAAATCTTTTACTTTTTGACAATAATGAAATACAGTAACTGGGTTAGAGTCTGTGTTTGTCCCTGGCCATAGGCAGCTGGAAAGCTTGAACAGTCCACTCTGGGGAGGTCAATGTGAGTGCAGTGGTGGGACCTTAAACCCCTACAGTCTTTGTCTTCTGCTCTTTCATTCACTGAAAAGCTTATTTTTTGGTGATGTTAAAAAATGGTCCATTGGATGATGTTTGGAAGAATAGGAAGGGAACACAGTTCAAAGTTTATTATCCCACATTAGATTGTTGGCAGTGAAGGGAAAAGAGTCATAGCAGCTCTGCTTAGAGATAAACTCTCTGAGTCTTGACAACTGAGTGGTGGGAATCCTGTAAGGAAATCACCATTGAGGGCCAGTGTACACCAGTGTGAACCTTCTGCATGCAGTCACTTCAATATCATCCTGTATGAAACTCTGTGTGCATAAACATTCATAGGAAGCCAATTCTTTCTGACACCGGTAACATTTTCCCCTGCCATTTCTTTGAACTAAGGATTAGAGAGTGTTATTGCAAATTTAATTTTGAAACTTGTATGTGTATTTCAAATCTCTCTCTTTCTTTAGTTGATGTTTTTCTTTTTTTTTTTTAGTTTTAGTTGATTCTTCTTTATGGATATGTAAAATTAGAGAAGTCAGAGCTTGGTTTATAATACCCAGAGGGTAACTGTGCTACGATCAGATCATCAGTAATATCAATGAAGATATTATCATTGGTTCTACTTGTTGCAAGATGCTCAGAAAGCTCTTAAAAACAGCATTTTTAAAATTCTTTATAGCAGCTGTCTCAAGTAAAAGAGGCATTAGAATTAAGTATAGGGGCTCGGTGCCTGTGGCTCAAGCAGCTAAGGCGCCAGCCACATACATCTAAGGTGGCGGGTTTGAATCCCCAGCCCGGGGCCCGCCAAACAACAATGATGGCTGCAACCAAAAAATAGTCAGGTGTTGTGGCGGGCACCTGTAGTCCCAGCTACTTGGGAGGCTGAGGCAGGAGACTTGCTTGAGCCCAGGAGTTGGAGGTTGCTGTGAGCTGTGATGCTATGGCACTTTACCCAGGGGGACAGCTTGAGGCTCCATCTCAAAAAAAAAAAAAAAAAAAGAATTAAGTATAGGAATTAGAGTTAAACCATGCCCCCCCCCTTTTATAATAGGAAAAGGCTTAGAAGCTTTGTATTTTTGAATATATATAACTACTGACCCTGGCAGATGTTATGTGACTAGGATAGTGAGTTATTGAGAAGTTATGCTGAGGTCAGTGTAGGTGTAAGTAGTTGGGAGTTGAAGCGTGGGGAAGCCACCAATTACAGTGCCCTGAGCAATATCCAGATGGTTTTCTTTGTTTATTTGCAGGGCCTTTACTTAGTGAAGAACAGAATTTAGAACACTGTGCAGTTAAGCACTTTACCCACCATTGCACAGCTGCTAAATGGCAGGGTCAAGATTTCAGCCCGAACTAAAGATGCTATGAAGGGTCAAGTGCGATAGCCTTCCACTGAAAAGGCTAACCTAAATTAATTTTATTCAGTGATCATGTATTGAGCGTATGTTAGATGCCGGTAACAGCGAGCTGGGGCTATAGTGGGCAGGTAATCCCTATCTTTGTTGAATTTACATTTTCTACACCGTTTTTTGTAAGATTTCACTGTAAAATCTGATACCTACCAGAATCCATTTTCTACTTAATTCAGAGACCTTCCCAGTGATAGTTATAGTTCATCTTATCTTACTAAGGATATTCTCAATATGAAGTGACCTGGAAACAGCCTCCTCTTTAATCTATCCAACCGTCTACTTGGTTGTGCTTTATTATTGCTGCAGCTGAAATTCTACTATATAAAGCAGTCACTGTTCTTTAATCTCGTCAGTTATTCTGGTCACAGATTGAAGGAGGTTATTTGATCGTGCATATAGAAATTGATCAGGACTGACTGGTTTTGGAGGAATTATGCATGAAGTGGGAATTAGAGTGTATATGAGTAAAATATGCCCTGAGGTGTATTTATGGGCCATGTGTGCTCCTGGATGTATGGTTTGATTGCTGAAGTATGAAAGCAAATGCCCCATTGTCATAGTGCTTAACGACTAATCACACTGACACTTGTTCCCAGATTAGTGCTGTAATTAAGACTAGGCCTATTGAAAATCAAAGACAGTCTGTCAGAACTTCTTTTCTGTATGTTTAATATTTTTCTTTTTTGGTAAATTGCCAGTAATTAACATTTTTCTACTTCTTTTGATTCACTCTATGAAGTTGTCAGGGAAATTAATTGATGTAGAGAAATGTAAAAATGGGAGTCAATGAACTCGTTTTCCATTTTAATCATATGAAAACACTTTGTTGATCTTTCTGTAGAATTTCACAGGCTGAATATGAATTTTGGTGATCTGTTTTAAGATGTTTAAGGGCTTTTATATTTTCAAGAGATCCCTTTCTCGATATTGTTTTGGTCTTTTTCAAAATCTTGATAATGATAGACTTTATAAGATATTTATACACGCTGTATATAAATGTATACACATATATGTGCATATACATACACACATATTTATCTTTAGGAAGGTATAATTTTAAGATTGCATTGTAAATGACAACATCTGAAAGTGTGAAAGACCAAAGAAAACATTAAAAAATAGATATGCATCTTTACCAAATATAGAAATTTAAGTCACCATCAGACATTAATATATATTTCATATTGAGAATAATGATATGTCCCAGTAGAGCAAATGAGAATGTTTAGACTATGTATTTAATGGATTCTTAGTATTAAACGTGATAGTTAGAAGTGTGTTTGAGAGCAGGCTTACATTCTATATATTGAGTGGCATATGCAAATATTTAATTATAGCTATCTTTATTAAGGAAAGTAATATAGAAACATGTACATTCTCAAATGTTTCAACTATAAAAATTGATGTTTCTCATGGGACACAAATATAAGAGGGTCCTTACCTAACAAAAGCAATCAAGGTCACCTGCTTCTGTGTACCCTCAATGAATCCCCAGCAATAAAAAAATAAAAGTAAAAATAAAAATTCATGTTTCTCAATAAGCAATTGCCATGGCTGGAAGATGGCTAGAGGGCCATTAGTGGCCATAAGGCAGTAATTTGATTATTTGTGTTTAATTCCTATTACAGAAACACTTCATTAACTTTTAAGACAGGACTAGAGAGACGTATGGTATTTTTATTTTATAAATGAAGTGAAGGAGGTACGTAAATCTGAGAAAACAGCAGAGCCCAAACCCATCCATCTTAGCTATTAGAACCTTATGGTTGTTATGTTGTCTTTTTTTCAAAGCAGAGACAAAAAACACTAAATGATTAGACCCTGTGATAAACCCTACAATTAGAAGGAAATCAGGAATATGAGTCAATTTATCAACCATAAATAACTAGCAGGCAGATCTCATATTAATCTTTACCTTTGAGTAAAAATATAGGCATGTATTTCTTTATAAATATTTGCGTCCTATATATGTCACAATCCTGTAGATAATTGGTACTTAAAGTATAAGTTTTCTACCTGGTGGTTTCCCTAAGGACGTCATGATCTTCAACATCATTATCTCACTTTGTTAGGGTTTAACAGGACCTGATGGAGCCCCTGGCTCTGTTGGACCAAGGGGACAGAAAGTAAGTTAGCCACCTGTTATTGATTGCTGGTATTAATGAAATGCTGAAGTAGAATTTTATTGTAGTGCTTGCACTCAACTAACATTAAGTTATGAAGTAGCTTAAATATACTTGTTCAACTAAAATTGTATTTAAAACCACGGGGGTGGAGGGTTTTAATGATTTTAATATTTATGCAGTTTTCATATTTACATATTCCTGCTACAAAACGCTTAGTACATGTACAACAAAACTATTTTTGTTTTTAGGGAGAACCTGGTGTACCTGGACCTCGTGGGTTTCCAGTAAGTAAATGAAAAGCAACAGAATTGAAAATACCCTATCTTTCTATTTCTAGGCAAAATTCTGCCTTGTGATTTTTTTAAAATGTAGTTTTCTACAAAGTATATTTGGTAAAGGAGTTTATGATGTATCTAGTATGGTAAGCATTTATTCTGTGAGTAGGAAAATTTTAGAGAAATTCAAACATACAGGTGATATTTCCCAATCAATAACTCCTTCTCTACTCCCAATGATAGAAACCATTTCTTACATAACAACAGAAAAATCTAAGTATTCAGGGTTTACACCATGGCATCACACCATTTTCTTCACAGCTGGTTTTATTGCTAATGAAATATCAACTAATCAGATACTACCAATCATCTGATCCCCTGGGTAGATTTTTCCCTCATTGTATGATCCGGCAGGTGTTGAGTTAGGAATAGAAAATAAACATCCATGTATATACAAAAGGACTGGGTTCTAATGCTGCTTTTTATATTTTATTCTTTGTTCCTGTTTGCTCTTGTCATTAATCTGTATTTTTCCTCCCTTTTTCCTGTTGGTGGCATTTTCTTTGCCATATTTCAGCATCTGTCAACTTTTCCATAGAAACCTATTTTCAGAAGTGACTGACTTGCTGGCCTTTCTCCATATTTTTCAACTAGATCTCAATGTCAACATCTTACAGAGATGCCTTTTAAAAAAATTTAGTGAAATTTGTCAAACATCTATGGGTCTGATCATGAAATGACTTATTGATTACTTTATTATTTTCAAGCATAACATCGGTTTCCCAAATTGATCTATGTATGAAAATGTTCAACTAGAAGTAATTTTTCAAAAGAAGCTTTTAAAAAGTCACACTTTTAGTGTGGGTTAGTAGGGTTGAATATTAAAACACAGTGCCCATGTGAAATTCTTGCTTGTTTTGGCTGCCTAAATATTATTTCTAGAAATCATAGTATCATTATCAGAGGGGGTGTATTGATTCCGTGGGATACGTTATGTATGGGTCTTTTAGAAAGCAAGTCTGGAATGAAAAGCTAACATAAACATGGTATCAGAGACAGCTGTGAATCAAATCTATTGAAGCCACGGTAGGAGAAAAAAGAAAAATGGGAAACCTCAAGGGTAGGAAAAAGAACTTGGAAAGCAACGAGGGGGAATAGAGACTCTGAGTAGCTGAAGTCCAGTTATAAATTCAACACACACTGTTAGGGTCTGTTGTCTCTTAGGCCCTGTGCTAGGAATTGGGTTTAGGAGGATGAATGAAATGTAGTCTTAATTCTTGATTATACACTGTTTAGTGTTGCTAAAGAGATATAAAATGTAAAGGAGATGGAGTGACTAGATTGAAGGTCAAATGTAGCAAGTTAAATTGGGGTCCTTTTGTAGGTTATTTCAAACAAGAGCGACACCATTCAATAAAATGAAAATAATATCTACTGGAATTAGGGTGATTAGGGTGTGGAAATAGCCTTTACTGTCAAGAGGGAGGTATATTTCTGTCCTTTTCCTCCTCTAACTCTCTGTGGAGAATATTTATTTAGGGACCTACTAAACATCATTTTATTGGGAAACTATAATGCTTTGAATGTGGTTTCATATAAAATACCGCATGTGAATAAAATCTGTAAACTTTCTGGTGGCCGTGTGCCTCTTTGCGAGTGATGGTAAGTTCTCTTGAGGACAAACATAGATGGCTTCTATACTTTGATTGTCCTTTAAAAATGTTCTGCAAAATGTTACTGGTTAGCATAGACATCAAAGGAGTGTTTGAGGAGCGGAAACAAGGTGTGCTTCCTTTACCAATATATGATCACCCACACTTTGAAACGAATGATAAAACACAACTACAGACCAGAATGAGGGAGGGAAGAAGAGGCTGAGGGGAGAGGGTGGGGGAGGCTGGATGGCGGGAAGGTAATTGGTGGGACCTTACCTATCGTGCATAATGCAAGGGTACATGTCAAATATATTAAGAGTAGAGTATAAATGTCTTAACAAATAATTGAAGTGAAGGCTATATAAACCAGTTTGATGTAAGTATTCCAAATTGTATATAAAATCAGTACATCATACCCCATAAATACATTAATGTACACAGTTATGATTTAATATAAAACATAGAGGCAGAGCCATATTTGTTTTTCTTTATCCAGTGCTTGCTTCAGAATGAACATCGTACGTTCATTTAGAGATAGTTCATGGTTTATGTTTAATCTGAGCTGTGTCTATGTTCGCATTTATGCTGAATATAAACTGCATGCCATAAACATTTTTATTTTAATCCTGCAGGGTCGTGGTATTCCTGGACCCCCTGTAAGTCTCATTACATCATTTGTTTGTACATGGTCTATAAAAATGTCCTATTTCTCCAATCCCCACTCTACTCTCCAGCTCACACGCTATCCAGTGGCGTTTACAGCATTCTACCTCCATGATCTTAGGTGGCTATCCTGCTAAATATTAATTGAGGAAATTTCTGTTCCGTCCTAATTAAAATTTGGTCAAATGAATTACTGTCTCATTGGAAACCAAAGCTAACACAGCTATGTACTTCTAAGTCTGCTACTTAGCATATTTGACACACTTATGATAGATTGTAAAAATATCCATCAATCACCGAGCTGCTTTGATTTTTTGGCTTTAGGGTCCTCCTGGGACAGCAGGACTCCCTGGAGAGCTAGGCCGCGTGGGACCTGTTGTGAGTACCACAGAGCATTCCCCTAGACATTTGCTGGTTTAATAGAAAGTATTACCAGGAAAGGCAAATTACCCTAACTGTGTGCTTTCCCTTGCAAATCAAAAAATGACAGATGAATTTCATTTTAGTTCATAATATGGATGGGGACTAGGGATGAAATCACTTTTGTGGCGTGATTTTAATTATCTCCTAATGTTTTCGGCTGAATTTTCCCTCTCAATTTCCAGATTGAGTGTCAAGTAAGAGTGTCATTCTCATTTCATAGGCTGTCCAGCAGGAGAGGGGGCCAGTGGCTTTTGTATTAGACTTTGCATGAAGTAAAAAGTGAAGAACCTAAAACTATTACTATGAGTATTTATGTTAGGATCATTTAATTATAATTGAACCAGCAGAATTTAACTTTTCACACTAAACGCTGGACTTCACAAAATAAATTGCTGGTAAAAATGCTTCATGTTTATAGTCAGTGAATGTTTCAAAAATTTGTTGAATTAGCAACATTATGTGAAGGTGGGTAATTGAGAACTCATTGAGGGAAGCAGCTACATGCATTATAAATCCATAAAACTGCTTCTCTACCTGTGCTATTTGTGAATTTGTTTACTTAACAAATGAATAACAAATGATTGCAAAATTAAAATAATCATAAGATGCTTTTGACTTTCTAAGGCAGAACATTAAGAAGGAAAATAGAGTAAGACTCAACATTGCATGTTAAGAACAATTGGAACTATTTTCATCTGAATGGCTTATTTTAAGTTAGCCTTATTTGATTTTCTAACCCACTGCAAGAGAGTGCAGGGATAGAGCAAATGATTGTGGGTGAAGAGCACCAAGTCAAGCACCGCAGAGATTAATCTTCTGTTTCACAGCTTGGGGCTGAGTGCAAGCTTTCCTGAGCTGAGTGCAAGC